CTTAGCCTAGAACAGACGAAAAAGCAGTCTCTAGAACACACTTGTGTGAATAAAAAAACACTCTTCTTATTTCTTATAGTAAACCTTGATTCCGGACTAAGTTGCTCTTCTGAATTTTAATAGTTGCCAGCTAATCAGCCTTTCTTCTTCTTACCTCAATGTAACAAAATGTCCATTCAATTTCAAAATTGTTTTTGCTAAATCTTCAGATTGAGCACCACCAACACCATCCAAAAAAAAGTCAAATTCACCTTTTTTCGTACACTTTAATTCATCTGCAAATTCTTTTTGTTCTTCAACATCAATGACTTCTGTAACTAATGGGCGTAATTCTTCAACTTGATTTTGACCTTGACATGTGACAACGATCGTTGACCATTTAAAGTAACGAAGAATAGAAATTACCGCTAAACCGACAGTACCACCAGAACCATGTAGAAATGCTTTTTTACCAAGACCTGGTAGAAACGAACGAATAAACGAAAGATAGAGAAGTGATAGAATTAAGCCGGGTCAAAACTGGAGAATAGTTTAAAAAAACTGATAAAGCAGTTTTCAAGGCAAAAATATTTTTGTGAAATATATCGAAAGCTACATCATTCGTAGCCATTTCTAGTGCTGATTAAAAATATTACAATTTTATGCGTTGTTTTGGCATATAAAATCACGTTTTAAAGGTATTCGTGTTATAACTTTTCGAATTTTTCAGCTGTTTTCTAATTCTGACCACGTTCTACATCTAGCTTGTTCGCTTTTTAGGCTGTATTCAAAGTGAACGTGACATTTTGAAATTTTGACCTATATATAGAAACGTAGTTATCAGACAAAATCGCCTCAAGAGTCAGAAAAAAATCGTTTTTCAGCAATTTTTCAGTTTCTATCTAAAAAATTGACACAAGCTTAACTTTGAAAGTTTAGTTTTACGTACGTTGGATAGAAAAACGTTTTAATATGTATGTTTCGCTGTTTTCTAGGTAATTTCCTGAGTTGATTGTCGGTTAAAAATCGAAGATAGTTTATAAATACCTCCTGCTGAAAAAACTTTTGTTTGTCACACTTCCATAAAAATTTTAATCAGACAAAATCAACCACATATTCATAGTAAGCCTTAAATTTCGGATATTAGGAACAAAAAGTTTATCTCAAAAAAAATGTAAGAAAACGTTTTTTCGGTATTTTAAATGTTTCATAGTTGTATCTCAGTTTAAAACTTTCCAATTAGAAAAATAAAAGTCGATATTTTTAAAAAGTAAATAAGTTGCTATTTAGTTCTGAATTCAACGTTGGTTAAAAATGTTTAATTGTTTTTAAAAATAAGAAGCGGGGACAGAAAACGACCGAACTACCACTTTCTCGATTTTTCCGTCTTCTCTAAGTCTCGATTTGATCTCTGTTCTCTGTTTTGTAGACTCATACCTGATTCTCTATCTGTTGATACTTTTCCTGTTGCAACTAATGCTGTCCATGCTGTTGTCATACCAAAAGGTATTGCAGTTAATTCTATCCATTTATCTTTGGTATTATAATTTTCGGGTAATAATCCACATTCATCATGTGTACATATCATATATTCAGTAAATGTACCTAATCTTAATGGATCTGCTGAGATCCAAATATGATCCCCAACACGATATTTTTCTTGTGTTTTACCTTGCCCAATTTTAACTATAGTGCCAATAGCATCACGTCCTAATATTCGTGGTAATTCAGAATCAATTTTACCCGTCACAGATAAAAGTGTATGACCATAACCATTACGTTCCATTGAATCAAATGGATTTATACCAACAGAATGTATTTTAACGAGTAAATCATTTGAATTGTCTAAATAGAAGAGAAAAAAAAGAGAATACGAGGGAATCGCGCTCATTAAAGACTGTTAATAGGAACTAAATGTTATAATTCAAAATGGGTCGGGAGAGGTTTTTAAAACACCACCAGCGAATTTTTTTAATCACTTTTTCCACTGAGGATTCAGCCATTTAGTAGAACATCAAAACATTTAGCGTATTTTGCAAGTTTTAAGCTTGTGAATTCACTAAGAGCACAAAATGTCCAGATTCATAATCGGTATCATCGATCACCTATAAAGAGACACCGTTCAATCTGGAAAACGATGTCATATTCGGGCTCTTCGCTCGTTACAAAGTTCTAACAGCTAATGCCGGATTTCAGAAAAAATCTCCCTCAAAAGAATTCAGAGCTTTTCGAAATTTTTGGTAACATAATTTGAGAGATCGAGTATGGAATTCGACTCTAGGATAAAAAAGATAATCCGCGACGGCTTATCCGTGGCTTTCGGTCTGCTAGAGCTGCATAAATACTCAGGAGCGCAAAGACGTCGTCTTTAGGCGATGTAAAAAATTTGCGTCTAAGTAAAAAAATTTTGCTGTGCGACTTAGAAAAACGAAATAAGTTTTACTTTCTGCTAAAAAAAGTTTTTAATTGGGAGGCAAAATACAGCCCCTCAAATTTTCAGCTTTACACATAACTTACTTGAGATGTAGAAATCAATTTAAAAAGGAGGAAGGGACTAAAACCCATTAGACTGAAACAAATCTTCTCCATTAACTGCCCTCTTTTCTGGACATCGAAACATTTTTTATTTATAGAAAATAAATAAATGTTTTATTTTAGAAAGTAGAAGTTTATTCAGCTCTAGATTCATTAAAAGGGTGACACACCTCGAGCACAACAATGACTGAATCTCTCACACTCATTTCAATACCTTTTGGTTGTGGTACAGATATTGTTCGTATTTGATAGGATTCTTGATTTGATTCTGTATATTTAACTAATTCTAATGCCTGACATTTATCTGCTATATTTATGGAGGTTGTCATTTCTCGTCTGTTACTAGAATTATTAAGTTAGAAGTTGTTTCGATCGTTGTATAAAACGCTATATCAAATGACAGAATAGATCAATTTTTCTGAAGCAGCATTTTTGTTTTTCTCTTCCATTCGGCATTTGTGTGTGCGATTCTGCGTATGATTTTACACGCAAGTGACTACACGTGTTCTCTTTTCTTTTCTTTTCTGTTAGATCATCACTTCGTCATCAACAGCAGTCTTATACACGTGAGTTACACCGAAAGAAAAAACGAAAGAAAGGTAGTAATTTATGAAATACTGTCAAATTGTGTTTGAAAAACTAAGCTTTTTTACCAATACTCTTTATCTCAGAGACTGTCTAAGAAAAAACATACATTGAATCCATTTAGTTCAGCGCCATCTATTTGCTGTAGAAAAGCTAAGAAACAGTTCGTCATTCTTGGCAAAGAAGCAGTTTTTCACAGCTGTTATTCTCGAAAACTTGTGTTTACCTTAGAAGAAAATAGCTACATATGATGTTTGAAGCCGACGATATTCCTATCTATGTATCATAAAGTGCGAGATCTCTACTTTTCTTAGCTCACAAAGGCACCATTTTATTATTATTATTATTGCTGGTCGTGCCTTCGCGGCCTCTGTATTGGCTTCGGCGGCTTTAGCACATGCATATTTGCTACAATCGAAATCCACGTTGGACGGTCTTTGGCGAGTCGTTCAAGGTCTTGTAAATCGTTTAGACTCTTTAGCTGTATTGGTAAAAGTTCTAAAACTGGAATAGGTGGCTGCTGTTTTGCTGCCAGTTTTAGATCGTCGTTCATGATTATTGGCAGGGTGGTCCTCGGTCTGCCTAGAAAGCTGCTGTTGATTTTAGAGAAGTATTGAATAGTGGCAAATTTAGCTGGCGTGTCGTCAGACATTCGTAGGACATGTCCGAGCATTCGTCACCGATCTCCTCGGATGAGATCTAGTAATTTTGTAATTTTATACTTCTCGCAGAGTTCCTCGCTGGAGATTGAGCGAGGGTAGTAAACTTTGAGGACATGGCGCAGTTGCTTGCGTCGAAACGATTCCAGTTGTTCAAACTCAGTTCCAGTTGGTGCCCATGTGCATGCATTGTACATTAGTATTGGCATAACATATGCATTGTAGAACCGCGAGCGTTTGGAGATGCTAATGTTGTTGTTTTTTCGGCACCAGATGCGCTGTAGTTTACCGAATGATGCAGCTGCTAGTTGCTTTCGATGGTTTATCGCTTTTGTGTCGCCAAGAAGAGTGCCTAGCTTTTTGGTGTTTCGCCAGGTTTCGTCTTTTCGGTCTTCTTCTCGTTTTAGAACTGTTTTCTCGGTCTTATCTCGGTTCATTGCTAAATCCTAGGTTTTTCGATTATCGATTATCAAGCTAGATTGCACAAATATTTGTTTATTAAAACGGAAAATGCAGAGAATATATAGTCAATAACCAAACTGAAGCCTTAGAAATACAAAACATTCAAGCACCCCCGCCCTTCAAGAATCCTTTTTTTCGAGAGCACTCAATCTTCGTGAAAACGATCATCGAACGCTGTCCAATAAAATTTAACGAGAAATTTTCTCCACTTAACAATGC